ATGTGTCCCTCCCTGTTGCACTGCAGTTGCAAAAGTAAGCAGAATTTTGACTGAACTGGGCTTGGCTTTTCACCAGCTCCACTTCCTCCAGAAGCTCTCTGGGCAGTTCACAAAACACATGAAATAAACAAGAAAAGATGCATCCTATAAAAGACTGGCATAGATGAACATTCGCAGTTCTATGGAATAGATCCGGGGCCTTGGGAAAGAGATTCAAGAGTCCCACAGCCTAATTGCAAAAGCCCCCTGTGTGCGACCAGTTCAGATTTCTTCCAAGAACTGGTGCAAGACACTCGCGGTGGAATATGGGACCTGGGGCACCGCGGCGGCCTTCCCCTCAGGCAGCAAAATGCCTCTGCCTGCCCTTGACCAAAGGAATGCATGTGAACACAGAGCAATGGATGTAAGAGGATACACAACCCTTCAGGGATCTAGGCAGAGTTCAAGGCACTTCATGAATCTGTTTCCTCAAAACTGGAGTGATTTCTGTTCTTCAGAGCGGGGCCTTTTTGGTTTTTCTCTCTTTGGAAGACTTCCCTGTTTTGTGGTCTAAACTGACAGCAATTGTGTGCAAGATGCTTCCCTGGGCAAGGTCAAAAACAAAGAGGATAATGAGTGATGGTTAAACACTGCCTGGGTGAACATCCTTCCTTCCTCCTTCTTGCATTCAGGCAAGGATGTTTCATTTATTTATTGCTTATATTTCTATACTGCCCAATGCAAAGTCCTCTGAGCAATTCACCAATAATAATAATAATAATAATAATAATAATAATGCTGATGTTTTAAACTGGGCCTGGAAATGAACTAAAAGCCAGTGTAGATCAAAGAAGGTTAGGATAATAGAATATCGACCCGTCCTCACTAGCAATCTGGTCTCCCCATTTTGGACCTGCTGAAGTTTCCAGGCCATCTGCGGAGAGCACATCACAGCAACCCAGTGAGAGGCGGCTATTTATTTATTATTAGGTTTCTAACCCTCCCCAGTAGCCACGCAGCTCCCGGGGGTCATGGCCCGGGTAGGCGGCACCCTCGGAGGCGTCTCTGTCCTCACGCCCCACTTCCCTGCGTGGCTCCAGCGATGGAGGCTGAATTCCAAAAGAGCTTTCAGGGCCCCCAGGAGCCCCTTTCACCTGAGGCTTCCTTCCTGGGATTAAGCCCCACTGAACGAGCCATCAATAAAAGGGTACTGTTGATCAGTTAATTGTTTTGTGAGCAACACTGCTTTGGGTTCTTTTTCAAATCAGAACCCTGTGATCCATGACCTACTTCTGGTGAAAAGACATGCAGTTCGAATCCTGAGCCCAGAAAGCTGAGTGCCAGGACTAACTGCAGTTCACAGTAGCAAAAGATCTACTCCTGGGTACTTCACGCTTTCCTTATTTCAGCAGTATGCTTTGGGGCATGAGGAAATCGTTTTACAGCTGCCATTATTGCTAAACCAGTGGCAGTCCCGAATTCTTGCTAATCTATTGCAAATCACCCAAAGATTTCCCCTAGATTCAAATCTACATTCTGCCCACCTCTGGCCTAGCTGAGAGCACACTTTCTCCTGCTACCAAATAGACCTGTTGAGATTACCAAGGGGTAAGAAACTTCAGGCCTTTCATTCAGGCCTTTCATTCTGCTTAGATCTGCTTCTGATGAATTTAAATTTTGAACATTGTAACAGAATCAATTGCCTGAGTCTGTTTCTTTCCTCTGCCCTCCAGGTCTCTTTTCCTTTTGTGTCATGCCTTTGATCACACTAAGGCAATTGGTCCAAACCTACTCCCAGTGCTGGCATAATTATTTCCATCAGTTTGGGATGTATGGGGGGAAAGAGGAAAAAAGGTGCCCCCTTCATCACCTATGCTAGCTGCCGCAAACCTGTGGATGCGAAGCTCCCCTAATTGTCCTGTCAATCTCCATCTGAAGAAATCGCTTCTAATGAGAACATTGTCATTGCTTATATTTGTTTACACATGATATTTCCATTCTTTTTGTGCAAAATTAGATTTTATAATGAGGGATAGGTTAGCTAACTCTAATAACCAAAGTCATAGAAATTTCTGTTCTTTTTCACTTCCCCTTCATATCATTCCTTTTCTTTTTCTGAAAACTCCGATCAACTTGTGATTCTCAGTTTCCTGGTGTCAAGTGCAGTTCCTCGTTTGCTCAATACCTCTGTGGTCGCTAGGCTGGTTTGAAGACAAATATTAAAAAAAAATACACCGTCCTTTGAGGTAGACAGCTCTTTGCTTTTTGATTGATTCGCTTTCTTTATTTAGAAACTAAGCTGCATTTCTTCGTATTGCAAGTGATGGGGAACTCCAGGCCAGTGGCTTTCAGGTCACATGGAAGATGTGGGGGAAAAGGCGATACTTGCCTGTGCACCCCACTTCCAAGTGAGGACACGGGTGGCCTTGTGGGGAGGTCAGCCCTTCCTCGGGACTCGCTCTCCTTACAGTGGAGGCTCGCGGGGGCACCGCAATAAATGCTCCATTCACGTCTATACACAGGCATGACCTGGAAATCCACGGCGTGAATTCGCAGTGAATTCCTGTACCCCATCAATTGTCCAGATAAGGAACAGAGCGCCTAGGAATCCCTGGGGGAAAGGAGAGCCAGCTTTCGGGACCAGTTCTACCAGAGATTGACTTCCTACTTCACACGGTGACCTCACTTGCCCCCCCCTTCTGCCCAGTGTGGGGAGGACGAAAGAGCAGTCCCCTGGCCCATCGCCTGCCCTGCACCCTCGGCCTCCTCCTCCTCGGGCAGCGCCAGCGCCATGGAGATGCATCGCCTGAGTGCAGCTGGTTATAAAGAGGCACCTCGAGGCACCCACAGTGAAAGTTCTGCGTGCAGAAGGTTTAGGGTCAAGAGGTGAAAGGGGGCACCAGTAACAGATATTTTAAATATGGTAAGTGGTATTTAGACCTATATAATGTTAACAATGATAATGAAGATAACAATAATGAGATCCTACCTGCGGATGGGCTTAAGTTAGCCATAGCTGTCTTGTACCCCATTCATTTCAATGGGTGCATCCTAAGTAGGATTTATGTGGCTGGCCCCAGGTTGGGACAGGCCGAAGAAGCTACTCTGCGAGATCGCTGAAGCATCCCGCTTCTTGCTTGTGGAGCGACAGAGAGACCGCTTTATCCAAGGATTACTCTGAGCCTCTCTGTGCCAGGCTTTTATCCTGAGCTCGGCATTCCCTATTCGATGGATTTGATGGATGCCACCATGACCCTCTCATTTAAATTCTGTATGTAACCAGCACGTTTGGTGAAGTATTTTGAGACTGAAGATGTTCAGAAATGAGGCAATGGAGATTCCAAAGGGTGCGAATCAGTCACACTTCTAGTTTTCTCTCTGCTGCCTGAAAATTGCACCTTGCTCTCCAGTCCCTTCCTTTGCATTTTTCACCTTGTTAAATTCTATTTTTAATCAAAGAGCTCCACCTAGAGGTAGTACTCATATATTTTATAAATTAACCTTGGACATGGAAGGTTTTGAATATGGCTGCATAAAACAGGCAGACAGCAACTGGAGCCAATCTTCCCATTGGAGGATGAAGATGCCAATGTAAGCAAGGAGGTGTATCCACTCTGAAATTTAGACTTACATTTAATCTGACTCCTAAAAAAGCTCACAAACAGTGCAGAGCCCCAGCCTAAATGTGGCTTCAGCACAATGGAGAGCTCTCTTTGCATTTCCTTAGGATGCCAAGGGTATAAAATGGGCTTCCACAGAAAGTGGTGGAAGCCCCATTGTTGAGGGTGCTCAAGGATAGGCTGGACATGCACATGGTGGGCATGCCATGAGCAGAGCAGGGTGGAACCGGGGGTCAGACTAGATGGCCCGGGAGGCTCCCATCTGACTTGACATGATTCTGATGGCTGGAATGTGTTTGGAGTGGGCAGAAAGGGTGAGCTCGGCAGAAAAAGCTACTCAAGGAAGGCTTTTTTAAAATCACACTCTTTTCAGTGGAACTTGACCCCTATATGAGGGTTAGGGGAGTGCACCAGGGTAGGGTTAGGGTTGGGAAAAACAAGTGTCCTGGCATGATTCTGATGGTTGGAGTGTGTTTAGAAGGGGCAGAAAGGATGAGCTGGGCAGAAAAAGCTACTCAAGGAAGGCTTTTTTAAAATCACACTCTTTTCAGTGGAACTTGACCCCTATATTAGGGTTCGGGGAGTGCACCAGGGTAGGGTTAGGGTTGGGAAAACCAAGTGTCCTGGCATGATTCTGATGGTTGGAGTGTGTTTAGAAGGGGCAGAAAGGATGAGCTGGGCAGAAAAAGCTACTCAAGGAAGGCTTTTTTAAAATCACACTCTTTTCAGTGGAGCTTGACCCCTATATTAGGGTTAGGGGAGTGCACCAGTGTAGGGTTAGGGTTGGGAAAACCAAGTGTTCTGGCATGATTCTGATGGTTGGAGTGTGTTTAGAAGGGGCAGAAAGGAT